CGAGCCGGGCGTGCGCGCCTCTTTGTTCGGGCCCCGGGACCCTCGCAGATCGATTCGGCTCGAAACATGACGCAGAAAGATGCGGTCTAGGGCACCAGGCGAGGTTTTCACGATGTTGCAGTTTTTTCGATACGCTGGATCTCAGGGTCGTCGGCGGAAGACGTATCCGCGTCCACGGCCTCGCAGGCTGGGCCCCTGCTGGGCAGCGACGACCCCGTGGATAATGACAGGACCGTTCGCTGCTGCCCCGCGCGGAACGCATCCATGCGACCGCGTCTCCACGGCAGGGCTCATTTCGACCCCCCCGCTTCGATTCGATTCGATTTGGATGGATTCCGATTCCGATTCGATTCGGCTTCGGATTCCGATGTTAGATTCAGATTTTTGTTCAGATTTTCCATGCGACCGCGTATCCACAGGGGTGCTGGCGCTCTTCTTAGCGGCAGTGAGGTTCGCCCGCTGCTCGTCTCTTCCGCCGATTTTCTCTTCTCGTTTCGCCCTTCTCCTTGCGTGCGCTAATTTAGGCCGTTGCATTGACGCTTCGTTCTGACGGCGCCCGGCGTCTTCCAGTGCGCTGGCGATCAAAAAAGTATCCACAGGGGTCATGCCCTGGCATCCAGGCCCCGAATGTGGATGCGTTCGCCGCGCGTGAAGTTCGACGCCGACGCCGATGTCGACGCCGACGCCGACGCCGACGCCGACGCCAACGCCGACGCCGCCGCCGACGAAGACGACGACGTCGAGGTCGACGACTCCTTTCAGGAACAAGTCACGTTAGGATGCCACTCTTGCATCTGAACTAGTACATCCCCTGTCGGAACCCACCAAGCTGAGATGAATCCTTTCTGACTCTTGCGCCGATGCGTTCGGATGGAATTCCTGCAGGAGTTGGGTCCCGCGTTAGGGTGCAGCTCCTGCAGGAGATCAGTTCCGTCGAATTTCTCCAAGTCGGGATCCATCTCCTGGATCCACTTAGTCCCACGTCAGGAGCTAGGATGCAACTCTTGATCTTGCAGAACCCCTCATCATATTCGCTAATCCCTGGGCGCGATCTGAACTACTCCAGTTACGTCAACATGTAATTGAGCTTGCTTGCCCTTGATGTTCGGTCTTACGAAGGCCTCCAGGGTTTGCCTCCTAACCAACGGCCCTGGGGTCCGCCTTGGCCAATTTCTCGGGTTGGGTCCCTCCACGGCGGCGAGAACGTCCAGAAACGCATCAAAACTACGACGACGACGCCCACGATGACGACGACGACCACGGCGACGACAACGTTGACTCCGACGACGTCGACGACGACGACGCTGGCGCCAACGACGACGACGACGAGGACCAGGACCACGACCACCACGACGACGACGACGCCGACGCCGACGCCGGCGCCAACGCCGACGGACGACGACGACCACGATCACGACGAGGACGACGAGGACGACGACGACGACGACGACGACGATGCCGACGACGACGACGACGCCGACCCCGACGCCGACGCCGATCCCGACGACGACGCCGATACCGACATCGACGCCGCCGCCGAGTTTGACGCCGTCTCCGACGCCGACTCTGACGGATTTGCCGACACCGACGCCAGCGCCAACGCCACTGCCGACCCCGACACCGACGCCGACGCCGTCGGCGGCGACGACGCCAACGCCAGCGCCAGCGCCAACGCCGACGCCGACGCCAACGTTGAATCCGACGCCGACGCCGACGACGACGACTCCAACGACGACGACGACGTGGCCGTCGCCGACGCCGACGACCAGGCTGACGCCGACGCCGACGATGACGCCGACACCGACGCCGACGCCGACGCCGACGACGACGTTGACGCAGACGCCAACGCTGACGCTAACGCCGACGACGACTTTGACGCAGACGCCGACGCCGAGGCCGACGAATACGTCGACGCCGACGCCGACGCCGACATCGACGCCGACCTGCTGACGCCGACGCCGACATCTACAGCGACGCCGACGGCGACCTGCTGACGCCGACGCCGACCTGCCGCCTCCGACGGCAACGACGACGACGACGCCGACGACGACGCTGAAGCCGACGCTAACGCAGACGCCGACGCCGACACCGACGTCGCCGACACCAACGACCCGACGACGACGACGCCGCCGACGACACCGACGCCGACGCCGACGACGCCGACAGCGACGCCGACGCCGACGCCGACGACGCCGACGCCGACGCCAACGACTCGACCACGACGATGACGCCGCCGACGCCGACGACGACCACGCCGACGCCGATGCCGACGCCGACGCCGACGTCGACGCAGACGCGCTGCCGCCAACGTTGACGCCGACGACGACGACACTAACGACGACACCAACGCCGACGTCGAGGTCGACGTCGACGCCGGCGCTTGCGCCGACACCGATGCCGACGCCGACGCCGACGACGACGCCGACGCCGACGCCGACGACTTCGCCGACGCCGGCTCCGACGCCGACGCCGACGCAGACGCCGACGCAGACGCCGACGCCGTCGACGACGACGACGCTGACGCCCGAGACGATGTTAACGCCGACGCCGACGCCGAGGCTGACGCTAAGGCTGACGCCGTCGCCGACGACGCCGACGCCGACGACGACGACGACCATGACGCAGACGCCGAAACCGACGCTGGCAACGACGGCGACGACTCCGACGACGCCGATGCCGACGGCGACGCAGCCGACGCCTCCGACGACGACGGCGACGACGCCGACGCCGACGCCGACGCCGACGCCGACGACGACGACGCTGACGCCGACGGCAACGCCGACACCGACGCCGACGCCGACGCCAACGCCGACGCCGACGCCGACGACGACGATGACGCCGACGCCGACGCCAACGCCGACGCCGACGCCGACTCCGACGCTGACGCTGACTGCGACCACTCCGATGACACCGATGCCGACTCCGACGCTGGCACTGACGCCGACGCCCACGACAACGACGTTGACGACGATGACCAGGACCACGACCACCACGACGACGACGACGCCGACGACGACTTTGTCACAGACGCCGACGCCGGCGCCAAAGCCGACGGACGACGACGACCACGACGACGACGACGAGAACGACGACGACGCCGGAGACGCCGCCGCTGACGCCGACCCCGACGCCGACGCCGACGACGACGCCGACACCGACACGGACGCAGAGGTTGACGCCGACGCTGACGCCGACGCCGACGCCGACGAATACGTTGACGCCGACGCTGACGCCGACGCCGACGCCGACACCGACGCCGATCTGCCGACGCCGACGCCGACATCGACAGCGACGCAGACTCCGACGCCAACGGCAACGATTCCGACGACGACGCCGACGCTGACGCCGACGCTGACGCCGACGCTGACGCCCACGCCGACATCGACACCGCCAGCAACGACGACGACGACGACGCCGACGGCGACGACGACAGCGACGCCGACGCCGACGCCGAAGACGACGTCAACGACGACGCCCCGCCGCGAATGCCGATGCCGACGACGACGACGACAGCGACGACGGCACACCGACGCCGACGCCGACGCCGAGGCTGACGCCGCCGCCGACGCTTACACCGACGTCGACGCCGACGCCGACGCCGACGCGGACGCCGACACCGACGCCGACGACCCCGTCGCCGACGCCGACGCCGAGGCTGTCGCCGACGCCGACGCCGACGATTACTTCGACTTCGACGCCGACAGCGACGTTGAGAAGGCAACCGAGGCCGACGGTGACGACTCCGACGACGACGACGCCGACGCCAACGTTGAATTCGACGCCGACAGTGACGCCGACGCTGACGCCGACGCCCGCGCCGACGCCGATGCTGACGCCGACGCTGACGACGACGACGACGCCGACGCCGACGCCGACCCCGACGCCGAGGCCGACGCCGACGACGACGCCGACGCTGACGCCGACGCCCACTGAGCCGCCGACGCCGACGCAGACGCCGACGGGGACGACTCCGTTGACGCCGACGCCGACGCCAACGTTGCATCCGACGCCGATACGGCGACGCCGACGCCGACGCTGGCGCCCACATCGACACCGACGCCGACGCCGGCTACGACGACACCGACGCCGTTGCCGACGCAGACGCCGAGGCTGACGCAGTCGCTGACGCCGACGGCGACTCCGACGCCGACGCCGACGACGACGTTGACGCAGAGGCCGACGCCGACGCCGACGCCGACGGCGACGACGCCAACGTTGAATCCGACGCAGACGCTGACGGTTTCGCCGACACCGACGCCAGCGCCGACGCCACTGCCGACCCCGACACCGACGCCGACGCCGTCGCCGGCGACGACGCCAACGCCAGCGTCAGCGCCAACGCCGACGCCGACGCCAACGTTGAATCCGACGCCGACGACGACGACTCCAACGACGACGACGACGTCGCCGTCGCCGACGCCGACGACCAGGCTGACGCCGACGCCGACGATGACGCCGACACCGACGCCGACGCCGACGACGACGACGACGACGACGTTGACGCAGACGCCAACACTGACACCAACGCCGACGACGACTTTGACGCAGACGCCGACGCCGACGGCGACGACTCCGACGACGCCGACGCCGACGCAAATGTTTAATCTGGCGCCGACACGCCGACGCCGACGCCGACGCCGACGCCGACGCCGACGCCGACGCCGACGCCGACGCCGACGCCGACGACGACGCCGACGCCGACGACGCGACGACGCCGTCGCCGACGCAAATGTTTAATCTGGCGCCGACACTGACGGCGACGCCGACGCCGACGCCGGCGCCGACGCCGACGCCGACGCCGACGACGACGCCGACGCCGACGACGACGACGTTGACGCAGACGCCGACGCAGACGCCGACGCTGACGGCCACGACTCCGACGACGCCGCCGACGCCGACGCCCGCTAACGTTGAGTCCGACGCTGGCTCTGACGGCGATGCCGACGCCGTCGCCGCCGCCGCCGACGACGACGCCGACAACGTCGACGACGACAGCGCAG